ATACACATCCCAACTGGTAAATAGAGAAGAGCTGAGTAATGAGGAACTTTGCACAGATACCAGTGTATAAGCAGTTTTAATTTAGTATGTAAGCATAATATACTTAACTTGACTTCAACATTGCAATTTTGCAAAATACATTTCAATAAACCCTGGCAAGTGTAACAGTGTCATATGGTGGTTCATTTTCACCCAAAAGGGCGTAGATGAATGTTAGTTTTGGGATGCATGAAGTTAAAAAGTGTAAAAGCTCTGATTGCTCACCGATAGTCTTCCTCTCGCTGCTTCAGCTCCTGATCCCGACTGTACTTACCAAGATCATGGTCATCTTCAAAGACTCTCAGAGCTTGAAGAAAGAAATTACAACATGGTTTTAAATTGTTGATAAATACAGCGAGTTGGTTACTCCAGCCTCCTTATAGACCAGCATTTCCTTCTTTTAGGTCTTCTGTGGTCAGTGAACAGCGTACAGGATGTTTGACAAGTCTAATTCACACAAACCTGTTCCCTCTCTGAAGCGGTGCACCTCATTGTCAGAGATCCAGCGGTAGATGGGAAAGTTGTAGGTGTCACCCTCAGGGGATCTCACTTCCACCTTGGCAGGGAACCAAGAGTCTTCAAAGAACAGTAGGAACAACGGTTTATCTATCTCTATTAGGACCAGCTTTCCAATGGAGTCGGGGCAGGACACGGTAAAACTGGACACCTGGAGTAATGACAGAAATGGGTTGAAAACATTCATACAAGAGATCAAAACGTTTTGATTTGATAACTAAGAACTGAGCTGTAACATCCCAATACTTCATCATACACTACTGAATGTGGCACTGCATAAAATATCAATTTATTGGGATTTGTTTTGTTGCTTTTATCACCTTTGTGGCCGTAAGTTAAAGAGTTACAGAGCAGCACATATCCTGTTGCTGCACATATGAGTCTGAGTTGACCAGAGTTTACATCAGCTTCTCTAGATTGATATTTAATGTGCCATAATCTCATATAGCTAAAGTTGAGACAGTATGTTATACATTTAGACCGATATTTCAGACTCACTGCTCCACTGAAGAAGGCGAAAGGTCCTTTGAAGCCTATCAGCCAGGTGCGTTCACTCTCCCCATCTGTGCCCACCAGCTTAATGCAGACACTGTTAAAAGTGCCGGCAGCTGCGAGATTGCTAGTTGCTACGGTCACTATATAATTGACCATTTTCACACTGGCAAGCAGAGGAATCCTGGTGGGGAGAGAAAAATAATAACCATTCTCAGCACTGTTCACACCAAACGTTAAACGCGTCATTCGCGCCACTGTTCTCGCTGGGGACTATTTGTGTTCATTCGCGTGAATCGCGCTAGACGTGCCAGAGAGGGGGCGTGGCTTATCACCCTTGAAGCCGTTCAACTGTCCGCCATCAACCATGGAAAAAATAACCTGTATTTCTACTTAGTAATGTGTTGTGGAAGTCCCAGATATCCCGGTAAACTAAATGCCGTCTTGTCTGGCTTCATAACATAGTCCAGAGGAGCTCCGCAAGAGAGCAATCTTCCGTACTCCAACGCAGTGCGGAGGATCTTAATCTTTTGTTTTGGAGGAATTTATTTTGTTTTGTTT